GTCATGCAAACAAAGTCAGTATTATATAACAACTCGGACCAGTGGGCAGCCAGAAACAGGCGACAGTAAACCTACCTTGATCTTCTCGACAAACCGGTTATAGCTGTGGTTGTTGAAGTCGTTGACGTCCGCAATGAGATCTGGCAACACCGCGTTAGTAACTGACCCAAGATCTCTCTACTCAAATGCTGCCGCACTCACCCATATGATTGATGTGGGCACGGTACATGCCGTACCCGCGCTTCTTCGCCTCCCCGTACAAACCGTAGTACAGCCCGTGAACAGCCTTGCCCTGCGCCGGATCCAGCTGGTCGTACGTGAACATGTTCATCGCAACAATGTGCCGCTCGTACATGAAGAAGTCGCACATGAGCTCGATGCCCGCGGCGTCGTAGTGCGGCTGGCTGACCTCCATCCACTCCCTGACCATCTTGCCCGAGGACGGGATAAGCGGCGCGTAGTCGCCGTGGGCAGCCCTGCCCTTACTACCCCTCGGAAGCGGCCAGTCGATGAGCGGCAGGCTCCACATGCTGGGCACGCCGACCAACATGGCGCCGTGCTCGGGCGGGACGGTAGTCGCGTCCAGGAGCTCGCCGTCCTTGCCGGTGTAGATGTCGCCCGTCAGCGTGCCCGTCGGCGCGGCCTTGCTGACGACCTCTTTGATCTGCTCGAACTGCGCCTGCACCATCCTCTTGGAGCCGTAGAGCCCCCACCGCGCGAGCCAGTGGCCCACGTTCATCTCCTTCTGCAGCTCGGCGACGCGCCACTGCGGGATTGGCCCCTCGCCCTTCCAGAAGTCCTCCCGCCGCCCGCTGATGCAGAGCGTCTCGATCACGCTCGTCATCCACACGCAGTTCGGGATCGTGCCGTCGCGGCGCATCTTGCCGAAGGTGTCGACCATGACCTCAATGTCCTCGAAGTTGGGCATGCTGAAGCTGCAGCACATGTAGGCTTCCGGCTGGGGCATGAGCCAGATGGACAGCTTGGTCACGACGCCGATGTTGCTCTGCAGGAAGAGGCCTTCGACTGAAGGGCCGTAGGTGAACTTGGACAGCGGGCCCGACTGGGAGTTGGAGATGCCCCACTGCCCCGTGCGCATGAGCTCGCCGTCTGCGAGCATCACTTCGAGGCCGGCCATTACTTGGTGGTGGGAGAAGTGGGCGCCGAAACCCATGCCGCGGTCGAGTGTCTGTGATGTGTTAGCGGGTTGGCTGCAAGGAAACCACCCATTAGAAATCTGCCTACATTGCCCAAGACACTGCCCCATCCTAACGATGCGGTACTCGGCCAGACCTTCAACTTGTGCTCGACGCAGTAGTTGTAGAGGTCGATGAAGGTCACTCCCGGTTCCACCACGGCGTATGCGAGCTCGTCATTGACCTCGATGATCTTGTTCATGCGGTGCAGATCTAACGCCACAGAGCCGTTGACACGAGGAGCAGGTCCACCGTAGCTAAGCAGGGCAAAGTCAGTCAGGCCCTTTTGGTCAACAAGCATAGCAACTCACCCGAGGTTCTTCCCCCTAGAAAATGTCCAGAGAGGAATCGTAAACTTGTTAGCGACCGCCAGGACACTCCGCAGCTCATCGGTCGACGCAGGACAGACAGCCGCACTAGGCACCTTCCTCTTCGACTCGTCCGCTTCGTAGATATCGTACGGGTCGACATAGTCGGACATCGCCTCGCCAACGAAGACGCTGCCCTCCCCGACGACCCCGATGAACTGCTTGATCGCATCCTGGAAGTCGCTCTCCCTCACACCCGGGGGCAGGACGGGTTTGACGGGGTTCTTCTGCGGCGGCGCAAAGGTCGCCCGGTGAGCCTGCTCATACTCGGGGATGGTGTACTTGTCTGGTAGGACGGAGGTCATGTTGTCGGTGTTGAGGATTGTTCAGCAACGGCTTGTTGACTTGGGATGACGAGGCGAAAGGACACAGACACGGGCGAGACACATCATGTTAAGGGTAGCACCAGATCGCGACCCTTCCCCTCCCCCTCTCCCCTTCCCGTCGACAGCTCTGGCGGTAACATTGAACCCCAGTTGGAGTCGGAACGCTTGGCACCACACTTGCCGGCATGCAAGAAGTTGGGGAAAGGTGGGGTAAAGGCCATGCATACCAGGAACGGGACAAAGGGGTCTCGCACTATCGTGTGGTCAGTCGGCTAATGCATTCTGGTTACCTACTGGCTGAATGAGACTTCTCCTTCTGGTGCCAACAAGCCCCGAGATCGAGCCACTTGCCCAGGTCAATGGAATGAGAAATAGAGTGCCTCTTCCCCCTCATCAAGTTGGGGGCGGGTCAATCACTGCCACTGGACAAAGCAGTGAGGTCCGAGACCGTGATGCCTGAATGATCAATGTCCCCCTCCTTCCCCTCATTGTTAAGAAAGTCGGCGCGGCACATCGGTTGTTAAACTGAGGCCGATGGTCTCGCATGCGCTGTGGGGGAACGACGAGCCTTAATGCGGCACGGGTACGATCGATCTAGCCCCCTCAGCCCTGCGTTCGTGAGGACTAGCTTGGCATGTTCGAGAAGAGGAAGAGACGGGGCGGGGACGGAGGTCAGTCAACTTGGCTCTTCTGTCACGGTTGAGGACTCAAGGCCGCATAAGGACCTCGAACACCACAACCTCCGACCGGCCGGAAGCCTAAGCAACCAGATATGTTCAAACCGCAATGGATCCCCAACGCTGCAACGCGTCTCGGATCCAGAAAAAGATGATCGCAACAGATGCACGCAGCAGCTCCTGTGTCCTCCATCACGACCAGCGACACCACGTGTCATATTTGTTGTCCGCCTGTTTCTCCCATCCGTTCCTGGCACCACTGCTGTATGTGATACATAAACAGCGGCTGGATGCTGCCATTCCGGTCCTTGTAAGGCGTGGTCTCGCTGGCGGCGATGCTTGAGTACAGAATAGTCCGCCTGAAGGACTGTCACGCGGTCCGTAGGTCGGTACTGGAACGTCGGGAGTCCGGGAGAGTCTAACCGTCAAGGTCGCAGTCTGGCAGACCGTAGTGGTGAATGTTCGGTTCGGAACTTGAGTCTTCTTGGTCCACCAGCGTCTCAGTCTCCCGCAAGCGCTCTAGTTCTAGACGGCCATCGCATCGCCGACAGACGAAGCAATTGTCTCCACGAAAGATGCCTAAGAATAAGCCATGTTGAACCGAGAGTCGTTGTTCTTCGGGTAGTCGGTACTGGGGCTCGTCGAAAGTGCCAAATGTCGTCGTCGGGTCGATTTCAAACTTTTGTGATTTGGAATCGCGAATGGTTGCTGACGAGAAACATGGCGGCTTTTGGTGTTGGAGCGACGGCCCGTCACGTCAGCGCGCCAAGTGCCACTTGTGGAACCTTCCAGGCATGTCGATATCACCTCATCAGCAACATCGATTCACATCGATTCACTCACAGCAACGGCGAGGATAAAAACACACACTCCTTTCTCGCAAAGAATCAAGAGACAACTTCCTGAAATACCCTGCATAGCAGAAAAACTCGCCTGATCAACAACAACAACACGAAGATAAAATCTCTCGCCAGGAACAACGCGCATACCTACACCCTACACCCTACAACTTCCGCCACATTTCTATAAACAAACATGGCCGGCTCAGACACTCTCCACCACCCCTCCTCCCTCCCGCAACTCCAGTCCCTCCTCCAATCCACGACCTACGTAGCGGTAGACTTCTACGCCGACTGGTGCGGCCCTTGCAAGCAGATCGCGCCGCTCTACCAATCCCTAGCCGCCAAGCACTCCGTCCCCGGCATCCTCGCGTTCGCCAAAGTCGACGTCGACCAAGCCCAAGATATCGCCGCCGCCTACAGGGTGAGCGCGATGCCGACGTTCTTGTTCTTTAAGGAGGGGAAACAGGTCGCTGTGAACGGGCAGGTCATGATCCAGGGGGCAGACCCAAGGGCGCTGGGCGCGGCGGCGGAGAAGTTGGGGGGTTTGGCGAGGAAGAGGGCCGGGGGGAAGTGATAAGGGGATATGAGGGGAGAGGGATCTGAGCGTGGTGACTTTGATGGTTGGAAGGGATTTCCGCGGGGGGGGGGGGGTGCTGAGGTGGAGAGCGCATGGCCTGTCGGAGGCAACGGGTTGAGTGTGGGCTGCCATGGGCTTCTTTGCTGCGGGCGCCGTCTGCTGCCCTGCCTCAGTCTGAAGCGGCATGGGCCATTCATCGGGAGCTGGCGGATGCGGCTGGCAATGTAGCAACCGAGTAAAGTAGGATGCTGTGTAGGTCGACAGATGGAAGGAGTGATACCATCGTCGCAACTGGGCGATGCCGAGATCGGGCAGGCTAACGGAAAGGAACATTCCGGGTTATGTTGTGTACTCTAGGGACTTTCATGACTACACACGAGGCTGTGGTGTCCCTGAGCTCATCACTCACTGTACCTCCACATATTAGATGAGCGCAGTGCAGGTGTAATTCAAGCTCACGTTCGGTCTCTGCGACTCAAATAGACAATTTACAACCATATGTGTGTACGCCCAACCCCGGGCAAAAATTGACCGTGAGAAAGCTCTCGCAAGCTCTCAGACCGTCCGAAGGCTGTGAATTACATGAACCCCCATCCATGTTCGGATCAAGCAAAAAAAGAAAACGAAACGTACAACACCAGGGATTCCCCGGTGGTCACCCACCCGAGTACTAGTCTGGCGATTATCTGCTTATCTATGGGAGAGCGGACGGGATCCCGAGTTTTCAGATATCTATGGTCGTACGTATCAGCTTCCTAGATGTCTCTGGTCATATTCTTCTGATCGCAGCGGTCTCTCAGGGTTAAGATTCGGAGCTAAGGCAGGGAGGGACTAACGTCGCTGGCAGAGTTCGTGCTCGCATTCCACGGAGTCGCTCAGGCGTCAGAAACTTGCGGAGCAGAGTTAGAAGGTCACAAACGTGCTCATCGAGCAGCCGTCAAAAGAAGACCTCGGCCATCGACAAGGCGGAACAGAGCAGAGCAAAAAATAAGAGAGGAAAAAGATACACGAGAAAGGTCGTACCCGGACTCGAACCGGGGTCGCCAGAAAGGTTTCTCGACGAAAGTCAGAATCTGGAGTGCTAACCTCTACACCATACAACCGGACCTGAAAGCTTCGTGGTTTCTTGACGAGCGAGTCAGTTTGGCGGATTTTGATGCGCTGGCATTTGGAGAAGCCCATTCGGCGTATGTCTCGTTACTGTTGTCGGCTACGGGAACATTTGTCTTGCTAGGGCGCTGGAGACGTGTAAAATGTCGCTGGCGGGGAATCCGGTGTGCTCGATGCCTCTGACTGCAGTCGTCCTAACCTGACACGGTCTCCTTGAGGAGATGGGTAGGGTGGATAAGGGCGGCGCGAAGCGAAATGTTGTATACGCGCGGGTGGATTGTGAAAGAAAGACTCTATCGGCGGTACAGGCCGGGATCACGATGACCCTGCAATAGAAGTCTCGCTACACAAACTCTCATCTGCCTTGCAATGTCACAGGACCACCATCAACCGACGGGGACGGAGAGCTAGCGGACGGCGAGTCCCCCACGCACTCGACGTCTCGCTCTTGTCCACCCTGCTTTCCATCAACAGGTTGAGCACCCCAACGCGGATGCTCCGCGATCTTGACCCCGAATTTCTTGATCAACAAACCCGCAGACACGGGTCCAATGATGGTGTTGAGCACAATGGCCCAGACGGCAATGACGAACGCCTTCCTACCCAGGTAAGGCGTCTCGTTCAGCCCGATCTGGATGATCAGCAGCCCGATCTCGCCGCGGGCAACCATTGCTGTGCCGAGGAGGGTGGCCGGTGCCCACGTCGAAGCAAGCACGCCTTTGCCACCGGAAGACTTTTCGGTCTTTGTGCGAGTAGCAGTGGCAGCGACGTCCCACAGTGGTATGCAGACGCCGACTAGTAGCTTGCTTAGCACCATTAGGATGGTGAAGACTATGCCCTTCCAGATCACCTCGCCTGTCCACAGCTCGGTGAAGGGGATGGCGAAGCCGATGCTGGCGAAGAAGAGGGGCTGGAGCATGAATCGCTGCACGCCAGCGAGGTACTTCTCGAAGGTGTGCGTGAAGGTGATTGACTCCTCCGCCGCCTCGCCGTGGGTATCAGGGCGCAGCATGCTGAGAAACATGCCCGCCAAGAATGCCCCAAACAACACCGACGCGCCCGCATACGCAGAAATGGCCAGAAATGCGCACAAGACCAGCACCATGATCGCCATATTCGTCGCGTGTCCATCCTTCGCCGGCACATTCCTCACAACCCCCACCCTGACCAACGGCCCAAAGACAAACAGCGCGACCACGGGCGTTAGCATAGCCATCAGGCCGCTGGCGAGTATAGGTCGTCCGATGATCCACCCCAGGGTGGCACCGCCGCCTCCACTGCCATCGTCGGCCGGCGCGAGCTCCCGCAGCTCTCGTATCACGCTGACGAGCACGAGCCCGCACACGTCGTCCAGCACAGCGGCGGAGAGGAGGACAGTGCCGACGCGGGTCTGGGAGATATCGACGCCGCGAGAGGCGGAGGCGCTGTTGATCACCACGAAGGTGGTGCCGAGGGAGGTGGAGCAGAGGGCGACGCCTACTATGAATGCTTCTAGGGGTGCTGTGGCAACAGCACGTCATGTCAGCATAATGCATCCCCATCGGAACCTCAAGGAGGAGTATAGGGCGGAGGGCGCGGTGTAAACCTACAATGCCCAAACGCTCCCAAAAGCAAACCAAACGACAGCGCAATCGGCGCCAGCACGCCCACGAGCGCGGCTATCGTGCTCAGCACGAGACTCTGGCGCAGCAGATCAAGACGGATGGTCAACCCGCCCTCGAAGATGATCAGAAGCAGTCCCATATATCCCAAAGCGAGGAAGGTCTCCTGCCATTCGAGCGCCAATATGTTGCCAATCGGCACGCCGTAGATGAGGCCGACGACGATCTGGCCGATCAGTCCGGCGCGGAAGATCTTGTTGGAAGCCCATTCGGAGAGGGTCAGGAAGACGAAGAAGGAGATGAGCACGAGGAGGGGGATTATGCTGGGCTCATGATATTCGAGGAATGCGCCGCTTGGGGAGGCGGGCATTGTCGATGGGCGGGAGGGGTGGGACGGCGGACTCCAGTTTGGTGGTTTGGGCTCTTCGGGGGAAGAGCGCTGGGATAAGATGGAGCGGTTCGTGGTTGTGAGGACAATAGATGTGTGCCAGCTTTGGAGGTGGTTGCGATGATGGAAGTTCTTACTGTTTGTTTGATCTTGGCTTGCGCCATGCGGTTTCTCGATTGAAAACGCGTCATTACCTATGGACCCCGCAATGCGTTTGGAGACGGCGAATGAAAACGCTATTTCGGTATTCCGTTCTGGTGACGGGACGGCCCGTAACTGAGCTCGCCCCTCAGTTCCGTCCCTTAGGTATGTTTTGGGACGTCACGACGCGAAGAGGAGGCAAGCGCGACTGTTTTCTGCCCTGTTTATAACCGCTATTTCTGAAATAGAAGTCTAACAAGGTCGTAAAGATACTTCTCTGTCATCATCCGTCTTTCTTTGCAATATTCAGTCCCTACTGAGCCCAACAATACTACCCTATCTCGTCAACCACTCCGCTAGCAGTACTCAGCCAACCACTCCTTCAACGCGCCAATGTTGGGACACTCGAGGAACAGCGAGCTCTTGACGTCGAGCTGCAGCTCGCTTTTGAACTTCTCCGACAGCACCAGCGACATGAGCGAGTCGATGCCCAGCTCCACGAACGACGCCTCGTCGTGCAGGCTCTCCATGTCCAGCCCCGACTCCTGGCTGATCAGCTTGATGCATGCCGTCACTATTGAGCTGCTACCCTCTTGAGGTGTATCGAAAGCCTGGACGGTGGGCTTGGGCTGCTTGGTTGCGACCGGGGTGACGGGGAGGCGCTGCTGCAGCTCGGTTGGCTGCGTTGACTGGGTTGTTGGTGGTGGTGGTGGTGCTGATGCTGGTGCTGGGAGAGCAACGGTGACAGATGACTGGGCCGGCGTGGAGACTGGTGGAGGGGAGAAGGATACTACCGGAGCAGCCTTCGTCCACAACACCGCCTGCTTATCCTCCTTCTTCCCATCCGAAGGCGAAAAGAAATGGTTCATCAACTTCCTCGGAACCTTCTTGAACCTCATTTCCCCGCACATGCCCACCACCTCCTCGCCCTGGAGGATGTACACATCCCCCACGTACATATTCGCCTCGGTCGCGTGCGCCTCCATCCGGACATAGCTCCTGTACTTCTCCCCGGCCTTGAGTCTCGGTATCAAGCGATACGTTCCAAACCCCGGCGTGACATAGAAGAAATCCCTTGTGTTCACCGCATCCCCTCCGTTCAACACCATACCGCCGATATGGCACACACTGTCGATATAATGCGGCGCCGAGTGCCAACTGCCGTGGTCGTCCGCCGCGAGCGTGATCTCGGCCGACGCCTCGAGGTCGTGCAGCACGACGGACTGCATCCCCCGGTACGGCTTGGCGTAGTCGACCACGTTGCCGAACAGGGTGTATGCCATCTTGCGGTTAAGGCGGGTCGCCTTGCCCGAGGCGGCGAGGCGGTCGAGGTCGGAGAGGCGGCTGCGGACGAGGTGCGTCACGCGGGACCACTCGCGCTGCCAGGTTGTGCGGTCCTCGTAGCGAATTGTCATTGTGGCGAAGGCCTGGTCGGCTGGTTGGGAGGAGATGAAGTCGTGCCAACTGAGGGTTGTTGTGCTGGTGGTGAGGTCCAGTTCGGCTTTGATCTGGATTAGGTGGGGGGTGTTGGTGTCCTCGCGCACGACTTGGGCGTGGAGGATGTCTGCTTCGCCGACGTTCATGTCGGTGGTCTTGGCGGACGGGACGGCGAGTTTGTAGAGGTACTCTCCGATGGTTAGGGCCATGTCTGTCCAAATTGACTGCGGAGACTGTCAGCGAACTTCACGGCTGTCGTTGGGACCAGAGCGACTTACATTGGTGGCAACCCCATACCCGTTCATCAAATGACCCCGAGTAGCAGGCAAAAGCGACGGATGTTTCAGATCCGTAATGGCCGTCAACCTCGCGCCCGTCTTCGATTCGAACACCTCCTCCTCAACAACCCGGTGCACAGAAGACGTCCGGAGCGACGACTCATGCGCCATCAACGCGCCCGCGCTATGCCCAGCAAAACCGACCCGCATCGGAGGCTGCTTCCCCTGCGCATACCAGAACTTGTCGAGCGACCACGTCCCACCATACTGGATCCAGTAGTTTTTCTCGTTCCACCGGTACGACGTCAAGTTCAGCAGCCGCAGCGACCTCTCGTACGGCCGGAAGTACTCGTTCCATCGCAGCGGCAGGCCGAGGTCGTGAAGTCCCCACAGCGTCGAGGCGAGCGTGACGAAGTTGTCCTCGTCCCGGCGGAGGGAGCCGAACGACTTCGCCTGGCGGTCCCAGTTGCGCACGAGGGAGGCGCACACGGGATGCGGCCCGACTTCGATGCAGACCGTCTTGTCGTCGACAATTCCCATGTCCTTGGCCGCGTCAAGGGCGTCGACGAAGAGCACCGGCTCTCGGGTTGCTCGTGCGAGGTATTTGGCGTTGATAGTCTTGTCGTCAAAGATGCAGACCTGTAGCAGCGGGGAGATGATGGGGATGCTGGGTGCTTTGAAGGTGATGTGGCTCGCTACCTCTTCGAATGAAGATAGCACCGGGTCGAGTTGGGCCGTGTGGAAGGCATAGGGGACGTCCAGTACGACGGTCTTGAATCCCTTGCTATCGAGCGTGGAGCGGATCAGCTCTACGTCATCGATCTTCCCGCTGATGACCGTGTCGTCGCGTCCGTTACGGCAGGAGATCTCATACTTGGCTGTGTCTCCGACGCACTGTGCGATTGCATCGACGCTCGCTCGCACGGAGATCATGGCGTGACTGCCCGGCGTGCAGTGCTCGGCCATCAGCATTGCCCTTTTGGAGACGAGGAATATGGCGTCCGCGGCGGAAAGGACGCCTGCTGCGGCCAGGGCTGCGTACTCGCCGAGACTGTGGCCGATAACGGCGTCTGGGACTATGCCGAGGTGCTTCCAGAAGCGGGTGATGGCGATCTCGACGATAAGGATGCAGAGCTGGGTCACCATAG